TCTCTGCACCCCGACCCACTCCTGCACCCCGACTCAGGGCACAAAAACAGTTTCGGAATTGAGGTAGCCGTCGGGGAGCGCCCCCTGCCGGCGCCTTCGTACTGCCTCCAGGACAGCTGTTCTCAACCTGTGGGTCGCGACCCCACCCCCTCCCGGGGGTGTCGCACGACACCATCGGAAAACACAGGTATATTTGTTTCCACTGCGATCCATTTTTTTTTTAATTAAGAAATTTTTTGGGGGGGGGCCTGGAGAGACGGCTCAGAGGGTAAGACCTCTTCCAGAGGTCCCGAGTTCAATTCCCAGCACCCACACGGTGGCTCACAACCATCTACAGTGAGATCTGGTGCTCTCTTCTGGTGTGCAGGCATACATGCAGACAGAACACTGTATACATAATAAATAAATAAATCTTTTTAAAAAAAAAGGAAGAAATTTTTTATTCATTTTACACGCCAACCACAGATGCCCCTCTCTTCCCTCCTCCGGCACCCGCTCCGTTGCGATTCCTAACGGCAGCGAAACCACAGCTACGAAGCAGCGACGAAAACAGTCTCGTGGCTGGGGGTCAGCCCAGCATGAGGGTCTGCGTCAGAGGGTCGCGGCGACAGCCAGGCTGAGGACCAGCGCTCTCGGGACCGGCATCCCCTGGTCTAAGCAGTCAGGCGTGTGTGTGGCAGGGGAGAGAGGGGCGATTGACGAACCATTCAAACCGCAGCCGGGGAAGGAGGCCCGCCTTACCAGGCGGTGGGGCTTGAGACCAGCATCACAAAGGCCCCGAGGAGGGAGGGCCGCGCCTGGCATCCCCCAGCCAGGCCCGGCAGGGTGGGGTGGGGGCCGTTTTGGGGGTGGAAGGGGTTAGATTATTATTGGAAGTCATTGGAAGGTTTAAACTGGGCGTGTGACTCACGCCTGTAACAATCCCCACACCCGGGAGGCTGAGCCAGGACGATAGCTTCGAAGTTCGGGCCAGCCTGGGCTACCTAGAGAATTCCAGGCCAGCCAGGGCTGCAGAGGGAGACCCTGTCAAAAAAGACAACCGGTGTTGGTAAGCATATCGCACTTATAATGATGTAGGTTTCACTTCCCCCAGGGGGTTGGGTGCCAGGAACTGGGCTAATGATGCGATCCACGTCTGTGCCTCAGTTTCCCCGGCTCAGGTCTCTCCAGCCTCTAAACTTAGGCAAGCAGGACCGGTTGGCGGCGCCGTAAACGCTTGCAGTTCCACCAAGGAACAGCAGGTGGCGCCCTGCGGCCGCGCGCCATCAGACCCTAAGAGAAACTTGGCGTCTCCCTCGCAGAAACACTCGAATTCTGCCTCGAAGGGGCTTCCGAGTGCCGCACGAAGAGCGTTTACTTTAAAAAACAAGACACAAAACAAAAAAATAAAGCTGACTTTCCGCTTTGCAAAAAGTTCTGTTCCTGTACAGTCAGGGGAGGTAGGCACTTTCGGCGCTGCTTCCCAGAGTGCACGGCGCTATGCAAATGAGCTACTTAGTTTTAGCTGGTAGGGTCATTCGTGGCATGCGTTGCAAAAAAAAAAAAGTATATAGTCACTATAAAATGTGAGAATATTATGAAAAACATTAGAATTCTTCCCTGTAGCTCGAGTACAATCACCATAACTTATAAGATTTCCGTCCTTTGGCCTTTATATGCGTGTCCGAAAACAGCTGCTTCTGCCCGGATGATCCTCAGTGGTCTGGGGTGCAGGCTTCAAACCTGTAGCTGTTTAGCGACAGAGTGGTTCAATTCCACCTTTCGGGCGGGAGTATCTATCCTATTTTGCTCCCTGCAAAACCGCATTCTCAGGAGATAAACGTCTCCCTGTGCAGCTCTGCTCTTATTTATCCTCTCTTCGTAGCTGCTCTGTGTCCCTCCCGGAAGGATCCAGTGCATCTCAAACGTGCGTGTAAGTCTGTCTCTACGGTGTTAGGCTATGCCCGTCCGCCTTCGGTGCCTCCCCTTCCCTGATTTATTCATCCAATCGTTCGCTCGCTTCTGCACTTAATCACGCGTGCACGTATTAGTCACACATGCGTTCGGTTGCTCACTCTGGCTCAGCCCTGTCTCTGTACTGGAGCAGTGATGGGCATGCAGTTGTGATCACACCTTTAGCTAGCCCCGGGTCCCCTGAGGGAACCTGGCCAGTGGAGAAGAAAGCACCAGGCAATTACATGTATTCAATGAACCCGAGAGAAAAGTAGAGCGTGTAAAGCCGCATCACACGGAGACCTGACCAGGGTGACCTTGAGAGACACACTTGATGGATGGCAGGGCTGACAGAGAGCGAGAATGGGGACACCGAGGCTGGAGCAAATGCCTTCCCTTTTCTGAGGTCAGCAGAACTCTCAGGCCACCCGAGTGGTGGTGCACCTCCTCCCCCGGGAATTTTTCCTTCCCGGGCTTTCTACTAATGAAGTGACATGCGTCCTGCCTCCTCCATGTCTCTTGGATCCTTTCTCTCCCGTCCTGGGTCCCTTTCTCTTCTAGGCACTCTCGGTCTGGGGAATAGAAGAAGAGTCCACCTAACACTAATCTTGCCCAGCTCCTCGGCTGCTCGGAACCCGTGATGGCTCCCTAACGCTTTCGAAAGAGCATAGGAACTCTGTATTCTAAGAATGCCATTGCCTGCAGAAGCTCCCTGAGGGTTCTCTCCCACTCTCCGCATGCCTGCTGCTCCTGTCACGGTGACATCCCCCAGTGCCCCAATATCTGACATCTACCATCTTCTTGACCCTGAATTCTTGATGCTCTTGCCTCCACCTCCCAAAGGCTGGGATTACAAGTGTGCCCCACCACACCCAGCCTTACACCCCTTTAGCTCTTGCTGAAATCGTTGGACATTCAATGTTCTGGATATAGTCTTTCCCAATCATGAAGTCTCCCAGACCCTTGACCACGTCAGGACCTCACACCTGACATTCTGAGACTTACTTTTTTCCAGTAGGTGACACAGCCTGGAAACATGGGAAGTCCTCCCAAGTATCTATTTTCCTTTCGTCTGGCTGTGGGCTGATTGGTTAGGTGCCCTAATAAGTGCCTGTGAAGGCTTCCTAGCAATCCAAATTCATCCGGTCTTGCTGAAAGGAAGCCATGTAACGGGCGCCCAGGGGAAATAGACACTTTGACCTCGTGGATACATTTTTTTAAAGCTTTTTATTGGCGACAGTGCAGAACCAAGGGGGGAGGGGAGCTGCCCAGTGCTAGACTGCCCCAGCACCCCCTGGGTCAGGTGCAAAATACAAAACAACAACAACAACAAAATCACAAATACAGCATGGGTGGGCAGCTACGGAGTCAATGAACTGTGGTCGGCAGCGGCAGGCCCTTCTCCTGCTCACACACTCCCACCCAGGATTCTCAACGATACCGATTGTAAAAATCTACCACCCAGTCACTCTTACTCACAAAAGTAAAACTGCATGTCCCCAACAAACCCGGAGTCGACAGACAGAAGGAAGATCAGGGCCAGTGAGAGAGGAGACATGTTGGAAGTGGTCAGAGCGGAAACAGACTGAGAAAAGACTGTCTCCAACAGCCAGAGGGGCTGGGACAACAAAAAGGTGAGTTATGAAGGGGTAGCCAGAGAGTCTGACTCCAGTTCCCAGAAGCGATTTCGAACTCCACAGCACACTCGCAAACGAGGAAGCTCGCACACGCGCGCACACACACGCACACACGCACACACTCATATATAATATATTTATTTATACATAATAGATATAAGTGCTTTTCGGGAACCAGGGGAGGGATAAATAGCTTGGGTGGGGGTTAGGGCTGGAACCGAGGACCCAGGACAGGGTGTGGAATGTGTTCCATGCAGCACAGGGGAGGGCCCATCTCCCCAATATTAAAAAATAGAAATCTGACTCGTGGAATTCTCACGAGGTGAAAGCTGGAGGCAGGAGCCAGGACCCATACTTGGGGCTGGAGGAATTGGATGGAGTGGGATAGTGGGAACTCAGCCCCCTCTTAAGTATGCCAGTCCAAAAATATTTGGGGGTTCAAATATCAAGGGTAGGGGAGCCAAAGCCTCAGCCCTGAAAACTTCTCTAGAAACTGCCTCGACCTCTGTGAGAGGATGCGGGGCTCCCAGGGTGGGGAGAAGTTGGCGTCCTAGGCTGGGGGAGGCGGGAGACCTTGGAGAAAAATGTCTGGGGCCTGCGCAAGAAGGCCACAGGGGTGCGTCACCGTCACTCCTTTGAGTCTAACTCCCTGTGGAGGGGAGGAAGGAGGCAGCTGGGAGAAGGGGAGACCCAGGGAAGGCTTTGGAGGGTTGGGGGGGGTCAATCCCACCCCGCCGCACCCCGCAATCCGGCCGCTCATTCACAGTATAAAGCGCTCCAGCAAGACGGGCGTCGCAGCGCCCCCTGCTGCCTGAAACCAGAAAGGCCCAACGAGGACGGCCAAGGGCGGCTGAGGGGGTGGGGGCGAGGGGGACATGGCATAAATACTGCGCAGGGCCACGTGGGCTCGGGCCTGAGTTGGGAGGGGGCTCCGGAGCAGATGAGAAAAAAACAAAAAAAAAAAACCCAACCCAAGCCAGTTTTTCCAGGAGGAAAAGCCTGAACAGTCAGATAGGGGTTCACATTTTGGAATCATCGGGGAAGTGGGGTGAGCGGACTCCCAAAGCAGGCACCGACTTCCCTCAGTCGGGTTGGGGGGGGGGCTCAATTCGTCCCGGAGGAGGTGAGGTTGTGACCTCTTGGAAATGTTGGGCTAATCAGTTAAGGCCCGAGGGAGCATAAGAGAGCTATCTTGGTCACCCTGCGCCCCGGAGCGTGGGTGGGTGGGGGGAAAGAGAAGGACAGGGCTGTCAGTTCCTCGTTGGGCCTCTCTGGGGGTGCATGCCAGCTCGTCCACAAGCCCACCCTGCACCCCACACCCAGCACCCCTTCCCCCTCCAGCCTCACTCACGCAAGACGCCAAAAGTGGGCGTCCCATCCCACCCCACCCTCCCACCCACCCACCCACCCCCCATCCATCTATCCCCAGAAGTTGGGTTGAAGTGACAGGACCATTAGACGTCTGGCAGGAGGGGTGTCCGTCCCCGCCCCACCCCCTGTCCCCAAAGTCACCAGCTCTCCGGCCGGCCTCGCCGGGGCACAGAAACCAGAGACGGAGCGCAAAACACAAAGGAGGTCCTTCCGTCCTGTCCGATGGCAGAGGCGGATGGCCGTCGGTCAGACAGAGGAGTCAAGGGGTCCACACACACACCCCCGCGAGCGCTCCTTCCCCTCTCCTCCTCCTCCTCCTCTTCCTCCTCCTCGTGCCTTGCGGGCTTGTTTGTTTTGTTTGTCTAAAGAGTTCACAGAGCTAGAAGGGAGGGCGAGTTCAGGGGGTCGGACGGCTGCTCGCTGCCGCTGGTGCGTTGGGCGCCGGCGAATGCGGAGACCTCCGGGCAGGTGAGGACAAACGAGGAAGTGTACGAAGGGCTAACAACAGGGAAGGGGTCGCCGAGGACTTGAACTTCACTGTGTGTAAAGAGAGAAGCCGTCAGGTTGGGGGGTGCGTCTCGGCTGGTCTGGAAGGGCAGGGGCGGTGGTGGAGGGGGCGGCAGCAGCCAGCCGAAGCCGTCTTCCTTAGCGGATGTTGACCCTGGCAAATCTCTCACCTCGGCCAGCGGTCCTGGCCCCGGCCCCTCTTCGTAGGGGATCTTGCAGCCCGGTTTGTGGGCCACCAGGACAAACTCCAGGCGTTCCTTCTCTTTTTGCAGCTCGGCGATCTCCGACTCCAGCTCGGCCTTTTCCTCTTCCAGCTGATCCGTTTCCTGATGGAGCCCAGCAGGGGCCAGGCCATAGGAGAGAGAAAGGAGGGACGATGGTCAACGACCACGCAAAGCGGCTCACCCACCCCACCCGCATTATCGCTGCAGACCCGGAGGGCCGGGTGGCTCCCTCTGTACTCAGGGGAACGTCCTCTGCGAGGGACTCCTGGCAGACTATGCAGCTTGGGGCCTCAGTTTCCCCAACTGAGCCAGAGATGACTGGGCAGGGGGGGGACTGTTTGTTTGAGGCCAGCCTGTACTTAGGAGCACTCAGCCTTAAAAGGGGAGGAAGGGGGCGGCAATACGGCTCAGTGAGCAAAGGCGATTGCCAGCAAGTCTGACAAATTGAGCTCGATTTCTGAGACCCGCTCTGAAATTGGAAGGGGAGCACCAACTCTGGAAATTGTCCTCTGACCTCCATATGTGTGCTGTGGCACACGAGCACACACTCGAATGCCAGCAAATAAATAAATATAATGAAATAAATTTTTTTTTAAAGAGAGAAAAAAAACAGTGCCGTTGGTTATGCGAATAAACAACGGTTATGTGTTGTTTTTAGTATTGGTTCTATCACACATCCTTTCCGTCAGCCTCCCAGGAGGAAAGCAGAGATGTGCTCTGGTTTCAAGGGGCTAGAGGATACTCTGCAGGCATTAAGGAGAGGGGACCCTCGCACTAAGGAAGGAGGAAGAAAGGAGTGGGTTTGGTGGGTGCCACCAGCTCAAGTTCTGGAGAAACTGTAGGTGGCTGGGGCAGGAGGAAAGGAATTGACGCAGCATAAAATAATTTAGTTTCGAGCCAGCCAGGATGATGGTCCGTGTGTCATCTCAGCACTCACAGGGGCTGAGGCTGAAGGCGATCGGGTTGTGGGGGTGGGGTGGGGTGGTGGGTGGTGGTGGCAGGCTGGGCTACACCGGGAGGCCCCGTCTCAGAAAAAAAAAAAAAAAAATGGAGACATTGCGGCAAAATGGGATTATTCCTAAACCAAGACAAACAGAATGGCCTCCTCCAGCTTGTCCTCTTCAGCTGAGAGGAAGAAACATGTGGGGACCTATCCAGGGAAAGTGGGGGAACAGCTGGACGTGCGCGGGTAGGGGTCTGCGCACGCGTATAGAGCGACTCCAGCAGGGCCCTAAGTGGGCCTCCTCGGTCAGGACACGGGCGCAGTGAGGAGTGGGGGGGCAGAGCAAGGTGACGAGCCCCCACCCCGGCGCAGCCTCGCGACACCCCAGCTCTCCTCCTTACCGCCTGGAGTCGATCGGTCAGCTCCCTCCGACGGTTTCTGCACTTGGCTGCCGCCAGCTTGTTCCGTTCTCTGCGCACCCGTCGCTTCTCTTCTTCTTCCGGGGTAAGCTGCGTCAAAGAGGTGAGGACTGTGAGGTGTGGGGGTGCTTCTACCGTCCCCGACAACACTCCTTTTCCTCCAGAACCCCAGACAACAACCGCTACTCCTCAGGGGCAGGGCTGAAGGGGCGATGGAGTCCCTTCAGGCTTGAGGCCTCAGAGGGCCCCCAACTTAACAGTGGCAGAATCACAGTCCCTCTTCTTACTTCCCTCACCCCCAGGCCAACTTTTTTTTTAAAAAAAATAATGATCTCTTGCAACCCAGGCTGAACTCAATCTCAATAAGTAGCCCAGGCTAGCCTCCAAGTCCTGATCCTCCTGCCTCCAGCTCTGGAGAGCTGGGGCTACCCGCCTGCACAACCACTCCCGGTTTATGCTATGCTGAAGAGCTACCCAGGGCTTCATGCATGCTAGCAAGCACTCTACCAACGGAGCCCACATGCCTGGGCTCCTCCAGATCCACAACGCCTGAGGCCTCATCCTTACCGTCTCTTCTCGGGGTCTTCTAGGCCTGGCTCTGGCTGGGCGGGCAGGCCCAGGGCCACTGGTGGTTGTACCGGTCGAAGGCCCACCGCTTCCGCTTGGTCCACCAGCGCTGTAGGCACTCAGGCCTGGGGTTGAGTAGCTGGTTCCTGGCATGTCATAAGGGTCAACAGCTGGAGGCTGGGAGGCCAGTGGCTGCCCCTGGGACTGGGCCATGGAAGAGATGAGGGTAGGTTGCACGAGCCACTGGAGGTCCTGGCTGGTTGTGATTGCAGTGACCGTTGGCACGAAGGAGCCGGGCATTTCCCCGAGACCGGCGCACTCCTACGGGGTGAGACATACACACACAGGCGTAGACACACAAACAAAGCCACCGACACACACACGCCCAACACACATAACACACACCGACCCCTGTGAGTGAGCACAGGGTGAGCGGGTGTGGATGTGTGTGTCACAGGCAAAAAGCCACAACACCCACCCTTCCACTACACCGTGACGCAGTGGTTAATGAGAGGATTCTGTTCAACTGCCTTCTACCTCCTCCTTCTTCCTCGGGGAAAGGTTGCACGGTTGCAGCGGGTGGTGAATCACACCCCGGGTTGGTGACTCTTAGGTGTGTGGGGGGGTGGAGAGGAGGCTGGACAGAGCCTGGTGACAGAACCTCCCGGGACGGAGCCACACACACACACATACACACACAGTCACAACACCCCACCCCCACCCCAGAGGGAGGGAGAGGGAGAGGCCTTAACCCAAGCCTTCCTCTCCACTCACATACAAACACACCCCCACTGTATGAGGGCTCCCGCAGGGGCGGAGATCCCAGCTCCAATGGTGTTGGGGGACTGGCCTAAGAGTTGAGAGCATCCCTTCCGAATTTCTGTCTCTTCCCCAAGGAGACTGACAAGTGACAGGTTGGAGTGGACTGAGAGGTAGAGAAGAGTGATAGTGGGGAATCCTTCAAACTGTCTTGCAGGGGATGGGGGCGATATAGGATCTGCGTCCCCAAACCCAAGAAGCGTCCATCACCACCCCCCTCCCGCAAGTGGAATTCTAGAGGCTTAACTACTCTGGGGGGCGTGGCGAGGGAAGGGCTGAATCCCTGGCCAATCAGAGTCCTGGGAACTAAGGGAAGGCGGACCTTTTAGAGACCACCTGGCTGCCTCCCCTCGGGGTAGCTCATCTAATGTTTGGACACCTCGAAAGGGCCGGGTGTTCAGCGCGCAGGGAGCGCGTATGTATGTGCCTGGAGAGGGGGTGACGGCCTCCAGTTCCCCCTTAGACACGCTAGCACTCGGCCAGAAGCCTCCCGCTTCTGAGAGCAGAAGGACCAGGTCCCCACAAGGCCATCGCAGACCCGCGAGGTCACAGGGTGGCCCCAATCACGACAAGAATCCCCTAGCTCTGCCTCTTGGAGACCCCCCCCCTAGCACGGAAGAACCACAAAAAGCAGGGAACGGAGCTACGCTCTACAAATAGGAAGGAGACGTTGATTGGCTAAAGCCCGCTCCGCGACAGCCAATCAGAAAGCCGCGCTGCCCCCTCCCTTAGCAACGTGGCCTCGGCGTTCCAAAATAGAACGTGCCCGGGACGTCAGGGGCGGGGCGGACGGAGGGGGCGCCGCGCACTGTGCGTGCCCCGCGTCAGACGGAGGATTCCAGCGCGTCAGCCTTTACGCACGGGTCCCCCGTTACGTCTCCGCGCAGGAGGCGGAGGCAGCGTGATCGGGGTTCGAGGCCCGAACTCCCTGCGGGTGGCGGGCGACCGGGGCCCTGCAGTCCGCGCTTGGGAGGAGGAGGCAGCGGAGAAGGCTACTGGAAGCTTCTCTGGGGTTTTCTTTTTTTGGTTTTTCTTCCCCTACTTGCCTAGCTCCGGGTTAGGGAGCCGGAGCTCAGCTGAAAGTTCTCAGCTTCTGCTAGCCACTGCTTATACTTTGCACCAGGCATCGCCAACGCTTGCCCAACTGCATTCCTTTCCCGCGCTCCTCGCACACAACCCGTTGCAAACATCTCTCCATTCCTTGCAATTTGCAAACAACAAAAAACCAAAGTGCAACCCAAGCCTCTTGCTTTCCCAGATCCTGGGTTTTTGGCGCGTCTCTATTTGAGAGGATGCTTAATCCACACTTTAGACTTAAAGAAATATTTTTTTTTCCATGACCACCAAAGAAGCATCTTTGCGATCGAGAACTTACCTGGGAGGCGGCGGCGGTGGGTGGACTGCCAAAGGAGTCCACCGAAGACAGGTACTGAGACTCGGCAGAGGGTGACGAGCTACACCGGGAGCCGGAGTCGTAGTCTCCGGGGAAAGCTTGAAACATTTCCCTGGGCACAGGGGGGCCCCTGTGACCACGCTGAGGTCGCCGGGAAGCCAAGGCTATGGCCGAGTGGGATGAGATGCGAGTCCGGAGTGGACCGGACACGTCCCCAAAGTGCGCTGCTTGGGGGAGCTCCGCGTCCGGCTCGGAGAATTGCCCAAGTTTCGATGCAAGTCCCCTCTGCAAGCGCCCGGGTCCCCTTCAGGTCGCCGCTGTACCTCCTGAAAGTCCAAGCTCCGTCGATTTCACGGCGGGCGACGCGGGGATCGCTCCCCGCCCAGAGTCCCGCCGCGCAGTGCCGCCGGTCAGCGTGCGCTTCGGATGCTGCTTCCTTCCTTTCCAGGAGTCCCACGAAATGGGGGAGGGCAGAGGGGCGCGATCCAAAAGCCCACAGAAAGTAAGTCTATCCTCGGGACGAAACAGAAGAACGATCTAGAAGGAGTCTTGCAAAACAGAAACCCACAAAACTTTCTCTCCAGTTAAAAAATAATATCTATATATATATATAAATTTTTTTCACGGCCGCCAAGAAGAAGAAGAAGAGTCACCAGTAGTCAAGTCCTGCAAGCCCCGGCTCCGCGTGTCCCCGGCGTAGCCGCTCCAGTCTTATGAATGAAGCCTGAAGCTGCCGGGCTGAATTTATGCGTCCGGGACCCGCCCCCCCCCGCTTGCGTCACCCGCGGCTCCATGCACAAACCTCCCGAACTCTCCCTTTCCGCCGCCAAAGCTCCTTGTGGCGCCCCCCAGGGCCTCGTGTACCCTCCACCTGCCCATAGGGTGACTCTGGTGGTCTCGGGGGTCCCCAAGGCTGCGATCTGAGGGTCTCCGCGGGAGGGGATCCCGCCCCGCCCTCCCCGGAGTTCCTGTGACGCAATTAGCCATATAAGGAGCTCGGCCGGCGCGGCCGAGTGTTTGTTTGGTATCCTAGCAATGACGTCAGAGGGAATCCCTCGCTCCCGCGCGCGCCCGCCGCCGCGCCGTGCGGAACAGGCCCGCGCCTGCGCAGTGCCACGCCGCCCCGGGGGCTGAGATTGACAGGAGCCTGAACACCCCGGGAAGGCCCCTGCTGACCCCGGCTGGGGAAGGTGCAACCCCAGATGCCCAGGCCTGCTTACCCCGAGACCCTTATCCTCCCCAAGCCGGTGCAGCGCCCCCGGCTGGTGGAAGAGAGCAAGTCCCCAGTGCAGATCCTAGTGAGAGAGGTGTAGTCAATCCAGGCGGGGAAACTGAGGCTCAGGCGGGGTTGGAGGGGCTGTGATGTCCCCAGGTGTAGGTAGAGGTAAGTAAGGATGGGGTCCCCTCCCCACTAACTTTGTCCCAGATTCTGCCTGACTCGCTGACCTTGGAAAATGTGCTCCCTCCTTGAGACAAAACTTCAGTGCTCACAGCTAAGCCAAGGATGGGTGGCTTCCGGGGGTGGGGGTGGGGGTGCCCTGCATCTGGGGAACCTGAAGAATTGGATCAGGTAGGAACCTACACCCTGTGAGTTCTTCGGGCTTGATGCTGTTGGAAATTCTCTCCGTCCTGCTTAGCGCCTTACCCGGAGATAGAAAGTATGTGTAATTAAGAACAATAATAATTATCGGTGGTGGCGCACGCCTTTAATCCCAGCACTCGGGAGGCAGAGGCAGGCGGATCTCTGTGAGTTCGAGGCCAGCCTGGGCTACCAAGTGAGTTCCAGGAAAGGCGCAAAGCTACACAGAGAAACCCTGTCTCAAAAAAATTTTATTATAATTAATACTTAATGATTAATACTAATAATATTATTATCGGTGGCATGTATTTAGCAATCAGCAAATGTCAGCTCAGTGCTGAGCCTTTGAAGAGTAAAACTTCTAACCCTTAAAACCTTGAGCGTTTTAAGAGAGTAGTATCTTCATAATGGATGAAAATGAAGGCGGGCGAGATGGCTCACAGTTAAAGAGCTTGCCACACGAACCTGCCGACCTGAGTTCCATCCCCCGGCCTCACGGCGGAAGGAGAGAAATGGCTCCTAAAAATTGTTCTCTGGAAGTTCTCAGGACTTCCACACGTGTGCTCAGGCACATGCCAACCGGTACTCACACATAATAATAATAGTAATAATAATAATAATTATTATTATTATTGTTGTTAAAGGGAAATAATAATTTAGAGGAAATGAGGAGGGCTGGGATGTAGCTTAAAGTGGAATGCATGTCTAGCATGTGTGAAGTCCTGAGTTCTAATCCCCAGCCCAGAAAGAATAAGGAAGGAAAGAAAACAGGAAGAAAGGATATTAGGTTAATTGATAGGCTTGAGAGCCCACTGGGAAGGACGGGGGAGGAAGTTTAGCTGGTAAAGGGCTTAACTAGCAAAGAGGAAGCCATAGGGATTCCATTTTAAAGCATGTTGGATAGAGAGTTTGAGTATGTGATACTGTCTCTCATATATGTGTGTGTGTGTGTGTATCATATATATATATATATATATATATATATATATATATATCATATATTTACAGAATCTAATGTGAGAGTTTCCTTTTTCTTCCCCCCGCCCCCATCTGCTTTGGAGATAGGGCCTCATTATATAGCCCTGGCTAGCCTGGAACTGGTTATGTAGACCAGGCTACCCTCTACCTCTTGAGTGCTGGAATTAAAGGCATGTGCCATCATGCCAGACAGTGAACATTTCTGATCTCATAGCCTGTTTGTTTTTAAAACCAAGTCTGGAATTTACTCTGTATCTGAGGATGACCATAATCTTCTGAAACTCTTCCCTCACCTCCATATTGTCACCAGGCCTGGTTTATGTGTTGCTGGGGGTGGAACCCAGGGCCTCCTGCATGCTAGGTGAGCAGTCCACCACCTGGGCTGCATCCTGGCCAGAGTCCTGACTCTTAAACACTCACTTAGAAGGGTGTCATCAGCAACTACACAAGCCTGGAGAGCCCCAGACCCAGCCTGGTACTGTGTGACAAAACGTTTCTGGGGGAGATGCAACGCACACATGTCCACTCACCCCAGAGAGGGAGCCAGCTCTCAACAGACCAAAGTACAGTGAACCGGTGGGTTTTATTGGGGTTACTTACCAGAATATGTGTTGGTGAGGGGGTCACTTATAGGAGCAGAAAAGACTCAAAGACAGCTGCATCCCCAGAGCCCACCTCTGCATGAGTGACAGCTCCCAGAGCTGGGAACCTGCAGCACACCGCCCAGCCTGCAGGCAGCTCACCATGTTGGAGGGTATCCTTCCCAGGTGCCTCAGTTGGTCTACACCTCTTGCAGGCAGCTCCTCTGGTGTCCGACTCTCCCTTTCCACTTGGCCTGGGTAAGGGTATTCTTTGCATTTTGTCTCCCTTCCCTCTAAGAGAGGACTCTCAGCTTTTATTGCTTACTCTGGCAGGAAGGGGCTTAGTAAATCTGGTTGGTTTCAGGGACTTCCTATTTTGAGTGGTTTAGCTTTCTGTTTAAAGAACTTCTCTACAGAATGGGATGTTTCAATCTTAGAGGAAACTGTTACCCACTCCTGGTCCAACCCAGAATCCAAAGAAGAAAGCAAAGAAACACGTTAATTATTTTTTTAGGGCTATTTATTTTATACTGTGTGTATGAGTGTTTGTAGGCATGTGTTTTGTGCACCGTGTGTGCCTGGTGCCCAGGTCCAGGGCAGCTAGAGCTACCTAGACCCTGTCACAAGAGAAAAAGTTGAATCTCATAGGCTCAGAAAGGAAAAGCCCTTGCTCAGGGCCAACAGCAAAGACGAGGTGTGATGTCTTACACCCAGAAGAATCTTGATTCTCCATACCAGTAATGGAGAGGGGATAGGCAGCCACCTAAGGCTAAAGGGACCTGGAGGGTGACAACAATGATGATAGAGATGGCCAGACAAAAGCCTTGCCTCAAAGCACCCTCCACCTGGTTCCCCACGCCCCCTCTGTCTGCTCCAGTCGGGGAGGGGGGGAGGGAGACAGGTACTCCGGGATGACACAGCAGCCCCCAACAGGCAATGACTCGGCTCAGGCTTCAGACAGGGAGTGACCCTTTCGTGTTCTCAGCCTCTCATCTCCTTTTCCTGGGGGATAAAGGAGACACACAAACACCCACTCTGGCTGTCCCAAAGTCCTCAGACCCTGACACAGGGATCTCAGACACCCAGAATGCCACCTCAGACATCTGCCCACAAGGAGTAGCCCACAGTCATCTAGACACACCTGCACGGAGAAAGGCATCTTCTCACACAACCCCGCCATCTTGTATGTTCAGTGTTTATATCCACAGGGAGGCAAAGAGGTTCCCAGTGGAACAGGGACAGAGCACAAGGACCGCTGGACCTTGCTACAGCTGTGCATAGACACACACACATACACACACACACACACACACACACACACACACACACACACACACACACACAACTCATCTCTCCAGCTTCATTCCTTTCGAGACAGGGAATCCCTGTGCAGCCCAGGCTGGCCTAGAATTCATTGCGTCACAAGCCGAGTTAGTATACCCAGCTCTCTTCCTGTTTTCTGAAATAGGCTCTCACTCTGTGGCCCAGGCTAGCTTTGAACTATCAAACTATTACCCACCCTCCTGCTTCTGCCTCCCAGCTACATACCACACCTGATATTGTGCTTATTTGCTAAAATGACATCACTCTGACCTTCATTCATACAGAGTCCGCTGGCCTTCCCTTAGCAAACCTTCACTGCTATGATCCTCAGTTCCCCCAAACCCTCGGGCCACACCCCAGCCTTGGCCTTGAGGACCCCTGTGAGCTGTGATGTCTGTGGGCATTTCCATGGCTTGAGAAGAGAGGGCCTGCCCATGGCAATGCATGAGTGGCCCCTCCTGCCCTCCTCACTCTCATAGATTTAGTAGCCTGCCCCCGCCTCTGAGGCCAGAGCAGGATTGGCTGGCTCAGTCACTCTTTGGTAGCAATCCTGGAGGCCTCCTGGAGGTGGTGCCTGTGGAAATTCAGGGAGACAGAATGAAATGATCTACGGTACCTGCTCCGTTAGCCTCCCCTCTCCCTGCTCTGCCTCAGGCTCCTGGTAATTTGTGTATCTCTTCCCTCTGCCTGGAACACTCTTCTGCTTTGCTTGGCTCCCACAGCTGCCTTGGTCTCGGATGAGCCAGTGTCCTGTGCCAAGCGTGTGGTCTCTCAGGTGTCGCGCTCAGAGCTGGGCTGAGGAGGCCCTGTTCACTGTGGTGTCCCAGCACAGCGAGGGGAATCTGTGGGCGCTGCAAACATTTTTGCCAAATCGCGAACGTACATTATTTTTACTCTATCCTTTTTGAGGTACAGTCTCAGGGAGTTCACGCAGCATCCGGTGTTTCGTATAGCCAAGGGCAATCCACCCAGAGCGTCTCTGAGCCTTTGGGCTCTAGCTCCCAGCACCGGAATTACAGGTGTGTGCCACCACACCTGCTTTGGACAGTGCTGGAGGGTCAAACCCAAGGCTTCACTCGTGCTAGGCAAGGATACCACCTGAGCCACACCCCAGACCGACCCCGGATGCGTTTTTCTTTGTTCTTTTAATTTAAAATTTGTTTTTTTACCTCGTGTGTATGTGTGTGTGTGTGTGTGTGTGTGTGTGTGTGTGTGTGTGTGTGTTGACACCTTGTGGGACTTGGTTCTCATCTTCCATCATGCCGATTCCAGGGATTGAACTCAGGTCCTCAGACTTGTAGGCAAGCACCTTTACCCACTGAACCACCTTGCCATCTCTTGTTTCTTCCATTTGAGACAGTTTTACTCTGTAGCACAGGCTGGCCTCCAACTCCCTGCAATCCTCCTGCTTCAGCCTCCTGAGTGCTGGAGTTACAGGCATTAGCCTCCACGCCTGACTCATTCCTGTCTCCATAAGCATTCATTCATTCATTCATTCATAGGGTCTGATAGGCAACACAGTGAGAGGCCTATCTTGGGCCTTCGAATATGCAGTTAGTGGACCACCTGGCGGCAGAGACACTGTGTGTGAGTGTGGCACACACAACCTGCTGTGTGCCCAGGCTGCTGAGGAGAAGCTTGTGTCTCAGGTCTGTTATGTCTCAAGGTCTGGTCGCTCTATCACCCAGCCAGGCCCTTTCAGCTCATTGATCCAGTGCTGGGATTAAGGCGTGATTGCTAGACGCAGTTAACTATCTGTTAATGAGTGTATGTGCACCTTAGGGCAGTCGCCTGTCCAACTGTGTGTGTCTACACATATGTTTCTTTGGATTCTGTAGACCTCTCTATCTCCTTAAAGATATACACAGCTAGCCCGGCATGATAGTACACACTTCAGGGGCAGGCAAATCTCTGAGTTCGAGGCCAGCCTGATCTACATAGCAAGTTCCAGGCCAGCCAGGACTCCATAGTGAGACCCTGTCTCGGAATTGAAAGTAAAGCAGGATTCTGGGGACAGCCAGTGAGGCACTTGGCTAGAATTCCTGAGGGAGGGGTTGGGGACAGGTTCAGTGGTCGAGGGCTTACCAAGCATGCAAGAAGTCGTGGGTGGGTTCAATCCCCAGAACCGCTAAGGAAATAAATAGCCTAGAACAGTGCCTGGCAAGATGTGTGTACTTCATATGTGTAAATTACTCATATCGAAAGAGATAATCAAATACCACGAGTAACAATCTTCATAAAATACATATTATGGATGTCACTCGGTGGGGTAAGGAAGCAAGCCTTGGGGGACAGGCTTGTGTGTGGTAAGCTGCGGCCCTGGGGTGGCTGGAGGCTAGCTGGCTGTGTACTGGCTTCTGTACGCAAGCGCCTGCGTGTGCGTATGTAAGAGCCCTTTGTCTACGGCTCGAGCGTGCCCTGACCCTCTCACTCCCTTGCAACTTCGCCATTCTGTGCGCAAACACCAAGACCCCATTCCACATCCCTGCCGCAGGTCCCAGGCCACTGCCCGCAAGCCACAGCTTCCTGTCACACCCACGGGGCACTTCCCTCTCCCTGGCTGGGGCCTTCCCCCGGCTTTCCTCCCTCAGCTTTCTCTTCCTGCCCCCTCCACCCCCCGTGGATGCTGTGGTCGGTGGTCTCTGGCAGTAGCCACCCTGTCCCTGACTCAGGCTGGTGCACCCTCACTGACCCTGATGTGGCCTGCACGCCCCCACAGCCAGACAGCCACTCGGGGGTGTCTCAGGGGGTCACTCGTGGCCATGTGCCCATGCCCAAGGTGACTGAATTCAGCCCATGATTCAGTCTCCTTGTCTAGGCCACTAGGGTTACCCTGGTCGTGTGATGTCAGCAGACAGGTATGTGGCCAGGGTTTCTCCAAGGTGACTCAGACGCCTGAGATACCCTATTCTTCCTCCAGACACTCTGGGCCAGTGTCCAGGGCAGGCAGCCACTGAGCGTGACACTCCCTTCCCGGCCCCCTCCACGCCCTTTATGGCCCTGAGCTAGGGACACAAAAGAAAGCGAGGGTTCGCAGAGTCAGGGCTCTGGGCCAGCTGCTGCTGACCACCAATCCTTCCCCACTTTCCCAAAGACCAGAGACTGTAGATCACATCCATCCGTCCATCCATCCTTCCATCCATCCATCCATCCATCATCCATCCATCCATCCATCTATCCTTCCATCGGTCCAGTCATTCATTCAGCCGTTCAGACATTTAATCCCCATCCAATGAAGCCCCGGGCACAGAAAGAAACAAGTCATCCAGTTGGTGACACAGACCTGGAAGAGTTGGGAGGTTGAGGCAGGAGGCTACAAGTTCAGGACTAGCCTGTCCATTGTGCATGCCCTGTATTTATGGTCCTTATTTCTAATCCCACCAACCAGCAGACCGGCGTCTGTCACTCCCCAAGAGTTCCTCACACAAGTCTGGTTTTTCAGAACCCTCCACCCTCAACAGCCATTTGGAGCAAGCTAGTCTTGTCAAGAGCCTGCCCTCAGGTGGTCCTCTTTAGCAGGCCCCCTTTCCTCCACCTTTTCTACATCTTGGTCCCACTGAAGGACTCCAGTTTCTATGCTTATTCCCCAAATGCTACCTACCATTCACCTGCCCTCCCTGAAATGTGAACTTCCAGAGGTGTTTGAAATGGGGCCTTACAGACATTGTGTGTGTGTGTGTGTGTGTGTGTGTGTGTGTGTGTGTGTGTGTGTGTTTTGAGACAAGGTCTCAATATGTAGGCCTGTCTGGCCTGGAACTTTCCCTAATCTTCCTGGCTTTGCTCTCCAAGTACTGGGATCCAGATGTGTGCCGCCACACCTGGCTGTGTCAAGCACTTTGTAAACATTTTCCGTATCAAGTTGTTTATGGCTGGCAAGTCTCATGAGTGGGTACCATCGCACCCCCTTCTCTAGGGGAAACATTGAAACAGGGTCTCATTCTAGGCTGGAATTCGCTATGGATTATGTTGGCCCTCCTGCCTCGGCGTGGGTGCTGGGAGCTGGGATTATAGGCATGAGGCAAATCCCTTGGTCATATCACCCCACTTAACAAACGGCAGAGACAGAGCATAGAGACCGATGCTCCTGCTCTTGGGAGTAGAGAGAGTCACACAGTCCAAGACCGTGGGCATTGACCCCATTGTGGGTGTGACAGTTGGTGTCTTTTTAGTCCATCAAAGCTCTGGAGATGAAACTTACAGCAGACAGACTCCCCAGAACTTGTGACACTTTTGCAGACACTCAGGTCAGAGCAATTACTGTGTGTAGGGCACTATCTTGGTACAGGCTTATCATTCTAGCATTTGGGAGACCGAGGCAGGGGCATTAGGAATTTAAAGGCAGCCTGGACTATATAAGAAGACCTTGTCTTAAAAAAAAAAAAAAAAAGACAAAGACAAGGGACTCGGCGTGTGTTTCCATTGGTAGAGTGCTTGCCCCGCAGGTATGAAGCCCTGGGTGTGGTCCCTGGTACAGTGTAAGCTGGGCACAGGGGTACATGTCTGTAATCAGCACTCAGAAGGTGGAGGCAGAGAACTGGAGTCTGAGGCTTTCCTCAGCTATATCTTAAGTTTGAAGTAGTCTGCACAAGATGAGATCCAGCCAAAAAAGAAAACAAATTGCATTCAATGCGCAGAGGGAATTCTCAGTACTGGGATTTGAACCCACGGCCTCGTGCATGCTAAGCAAGCAGCTCTAAGCAAGCCGCTCCATGAGCTACAACCCCAGGGGATCTCTGAATGGATTGTCTGAACACACATAGTTGTAAACACCACTGGAGGTGAAGCCACCCACAGACACTTGCACATTCTCGGCTTCGCAGATCACCTGGGGAGACACACACACACACACACACACACACACACACACACACACACCACACCTACACGATCAACCCGGCTACAAACACTTCCCCCAACACACACACACACACACACACGCACACACACGCACGCACACACGCCACTCACCTAGAAAAACACGGCTTTCTCTCACACACACAACAGTGGTCCCCGGGAACCTGCTGTCTATCACACAGCTGGGCACTGTCCCCAGAACTCACTCCACCCTGCCGTCTCTTTGCTCAGAGATTCGGCCCAGCCCTGGTCACATGAAGCGGCGGGCGGCATGGGGGGCCCCCGGGAGGAGGTGTGCTGGGCCAGTGGGTAGACCCTCCCAGTTCGTGGATGGTTTCTCCGACAGAGCCGGGATGCTTCGGGCTGGTGACAGAGGCGGTGGAGGAGACAGGTAGGCAAGAAACCCACGGGGGAGGAGAGGTACGGGCGGTGTGTGGCCCTGGGTGTGTGCGTGTGTACAGGTCGTGCACTTGAGCAACCGTCTCCCCCGGTCGGGGGGATCCCCCTGCCCCAGCGCTGCACCCGGAAACCTGGAGTCTGAGGTCACAGCGACAAGTCTGAGAAGGGCCACCTCGCTTGTTTTTGTGCATTATGGTTTGGAGGAAGGAGACCTCAGTCAACGCGCGGGGAGGCTCTGGACAGCCGGGCGCTCCGGGGAGGAGGGGGCGCAGACGGCGGTAATTTAGGGACCCAGATGTCCCCTCGCTGCCATCCCCGGGTCGGGGCCCGTCTGCCCCGGCCAGCCCTGGTTGCCGCGCGCGCGCGCGCGCGGTCGGGCTGCCTGGCCGGGGACAAACAACCTTCCCGTCGCTAGGCAACGGCGTGCCACAGGCCGCCGCGTCACCGCGTCTGCGCGGGCGGGGGGGGGGGAGGGGAGGGCGCGCAGAGTCGCCGGCGGCGCCGCGGTTTGTTGACGTTGCTAGGCAACCGCCGCGGCGCTGCTAGGGCAACGCCGGACGACTGTTCCAGTCTTAAAGGGGCCGGAGCCGGTCCTGGGTCCCGCGAGGAGACCCGGGAGCCGCAGGCAGGGAAAAACAGTTCTTTCCGGGCCACGGGGGCAGTCAGTGGGTCTGGGAGGCTGGGTTAGGAGCACGCGCGCTCTCGAAGCGGAAAGCGAACAGCACCGGGCCGCAGCGGTAGATGCTTCAACTCAAGTATTTGAGACCCCGGTGTTTGTTGGTGGCATCTGCGGGCAGGTTCGCTCGCGGCAGGTGCCCAAGGCGCGTACGTGGCGGTGAGGAAAAGAACAACAAAAAAAAACCTGGATTCCAGATTCCAGCACCCGCTCTGTGACTTTGACCTGTGAGTCCCTTTCCTTCCTGGGGTGGGGCTGGGAACATCTCTCACCGCGAGACCCGTGACCTCTCCAGATTCTCTAAGGTGTGTCGTGGGTAGTGAGTACCGTGGGCAGCCTAGACGGCCAGTGGGCGGAGGCGCTTGCCGCCAAGCCTGTGCAAAGGACTTCAATCCCCGGGACCTACATGGTGGAAGGAGAGAATCAACCCCCCCGCAAGTTGTCCTCTGACCTCTACACGCACCCTGGCACCTGCACCTCCTACCCTACATAATAAATAAGTCTTAATACAAAAATAACCTGGGTTCTGTCCCTACCTCACTGATTTTAAGATAAATGAATGAGTGAAGGAGATGGTTCAGAGGGCAGAGGCGCTTGCCGCCAAGCCTGACAGCCTGAGTTCGATCCCCGGGACCTACAGGTGAAAAGAGAGACCCGACTCCCGTAGGTTGCTCTCTGACCTCTACACACAGGCCATAACATGCATATTCACCCCACACACAACATTAATAAAAATATGCAATAAGTGGAGAATTAGAACGAACTGTACTTCATGCAGTATGGCATAGTAAATATCCAGGAGTGGTGCATATTAGTGACTTTTTAAAAATATATCTCTTGCCGGGCGGTGGTGGCGCACGCCTTTAATCCCAGCACTCGGGAGGCAGAGCCAGGCGGATCTCTGTGAGTTCGAGGCCAGCCTGGGCTACCAAGTGCGTTCCAGGAGAGGCGCAAAGCTACACAGAGAAACCCTGTCTCAAAAAACCAAATATATATATATATATCTTGATTTACTAATTTTATGTATATGAATTTGCACCACCTGAGTGCCTGGGAGTTACAGGTCATCTTCAAGAGCAACAGCTGCTCATAACCACTGAACCATCTCTCCAGCCCCTATTAGTGATGTTGTTATTATGTTCTGCTGACTGGCAGATGGGGCTGAAATCCTTGCCCTATTAAATCCTGACTGTGTGACCCCCAAGCAAGTGTCTTGCCCTCTCTGACCCTACTTGCTTCTCTATGAAACTTATGATCTCTCTGTGTCAGAGAGTCACTTCCGGGTAACGGTCCTGAGTGGGGCTTCCCCTCCTTGGGCCTGTCAGGTCACTGTCCCCTGTCTGTGTCATGACTCACCGCGCTATGTTATGTAAATGCTCGGGTTCTGCATGCAGGGCAGGTTATGTAAACGATGTCTACATCCTACATAGGCGGCCTGGAGAAGAGAGCCTGGTCCCCTGAGATCCCAACCCATGGCAATGGCTGTGTCTAGCAAGCATGGGCCATGTGTATGCACACTGTTGGAAGAGCATGCACCCCTCCTGGGGAGGCCTTCTGTATCACTAATCATCTCTCTGTCTTTTTCAGGCATGGGCTTACTTTTAACTTTTATTTATGTTGTGTGTGTGTGTGTGTGTGTGTGTGTGTGTGTGTGTGTGTGTGTGTGTGTGTGATACTTGTCCAAAAGCCAAGTCCTGATGCCACAGTAGCAGGATAGGTTCCACAAACACGTGTGGGTGTAAGCAATAGTTCATTCCACTGCAGCTAGGTGAGGAGGTGCAAGCCTGTCATCCCGGGAGGCTGAGGCAGGGGGATTAGAAGTTTGAGGCCTGCCTGGGCTTTACAGTGAATTCAAGACCAACCTCAGTAACTAGGCCAAACATGTGTTTCAAAATAAAAATGAGAATTGGGAATGTAGCTCAGTGGTAGAGCCCCTGCCTAGAATCCCCTAGTGAGGGGCTGGGGGTGTGGCTCAGTGGTAGAGCCCCTGCCTAGAATCCCCCAGTGAGGGGCTGGGGGTGTGGCTCAGTGGTAGAGCCCCTGCCTAGAATCCCCCAGTGAGAGGCTGGGGGGCGTGGCTTAGGCTTTGAGCGCTTTCCTAACCCACAGAAAGCTCTGGATTCCGTCCCTAGCACAGACAAACAGAAGTGACAGGTACACAACTTTTGTTTTCACGCCATCAGAAAATGCATCTCCAAGAGCCCAGGGCCACGTCTCGGTATACACACGTGTGTGACTAAGTTTAGCAGGTTGCTGCAGGAAGTGTGGGGTGTGCCTAGTTTAGGACCTCGATTGATGGTGGAAGGCTGTGGGTCCTCCGCTTGGCATGTGCCAGCCTGCCTGTAAGCAAGTGGACCAAGTTGGCACAGGTGATGGTCTGGCAACCCCAGCACCAGTCAGGCCGCATTCTCCCTGCTGGGCCCCGACAACGCCCTGCTGGGTGTGGTTCTCATGAGAACCTGGCCCCGAGCTGGGGACAGCCCACATGGAGGGTGCAGCACCGCTGTAGATCTGGGCGCTGACAGCGTTTGTTATGTCTCGGTGCCTGGGCTTGGGGGAGCCTGTGTGAGGTGCATGAAGTTTGGGGAACCTTAGTTTCTGCATATAGCATCCCTTTGAAAGATTTGTGTTTTTAGCTTTCTGTTCATGGGTGTTTTGCCTGCATGTATGTCTGTCTGTGCACCACATACACGCCAGGTACCTGGTACCTTAGGAGGCCAGAAGGGAGCATAGGGACCCCTGGAATTGTAGCTGGAGATGGTTTTAAGCCACCCTGTGGGTCCTGGAGATCCAACCCAGGTCCTCTGCATGCGTAGCCAATGCTCTGAACTGCTGAGCCATCTCTCCAGCCCCTAAGATTTATTTTTATTTTATTTGTGTGTGTGTGTGTGTGTGTGTGTGTGTGTGTGTGTGTGTGTGTGTGTGTGCATACAGGTACCTAAGGAGCCAGAAGAGAGCATCAGATACCCTGGAGCTGGTGGTTGTCGGCTGTCATAATGTGTGCTGGGACCGGGTGGTGGTGGCGCACGCCTTTAATCCCAGCACTCGGGAGGCAGAGGCAGGCGGATCTCTGTGAGTTCGAGGCCAGCCTGGTCTACAGAGCGGGTTCCAGGAAAGGTGCAAAGCTACACAGAGAAACCCTGTCTCGAAAAACCAAAAAAAGTAAAAAAATAATGTGTGCTGGGAACTGAACTCAGGTCCTCTGAAAGAGCAGCCAGTGTTGTTAATCATTGAGTCATCTCCCCAGACCCCCTCCATTTTAAAAATGTTTTTTTTAAGTGGAGTATTAATGTATGTGTTTATGCATGTGTGCATGTGATGTGTGTGTGCATGTGATGTGTGTGTGCATGTGATGTGTGCACAGGTGCGGGAAGTGTATTTGGGGAATTTCCTGTCACAGTAAATGTGGAGGGAGACCAGAGGACACATTTGTGAAATCTCTTTTGTCCCTCCACCTTTATGTGGTCCCCAGAATCGAACCCAGGTCACCAGGCCTGCCCAACAGGTGCCTTTACCCACTAAGCCACCTCACAGGCTCCGATAATGACGCCCGTGGGGACCGGATGAACACCATCTGACATCATGATGACTGCTGCTCTCCGCTGAGAACTTGCCGGGAATGTGGCCATCAGCAAATTCTGCAGCTCAAAGTTCAGACGCCTTCAGAGTCTTTTCTTTCTTCTTTCTTTCTTTCCTGTCAGTGTTCGACGGGGTCTTCGCCATGTCACCCCATGTGGCACTCTTCCCTCTGCCTCCCAAGTGCTGGAGTCACAGATGCTCACCACCATGCCTGACAAGCCGGGGATGCTGATCTCTGTTACCACCTAGTCCAAGATGCTATGATCGCTGTGTGGCCCTTTGCTCCCCCTCACTGGTCTCTGCCTCCACCCTGCCATCGTCTGTACACACAGAGCCAGCTGGGTCCCATTAAAACCCACAACCAGACCATGTAGTTCTTTGTTTGTCTGTTTGGGACAGGGTCTCCTGTCGCCCAGGGTGGCCTTGAACTCTCTGTGTTGCCGAAGATGACTTTAAACTCTTCATTCTTCTGCTCCGCCTTCCTAGTGCTGGGGTTCTAAATACGTGCCACCATTCTGGTCACCTGTAGCACTTAGCCCAAAACTTTCTCAGTGTTCTGTACTAGGTAAAAGTCAAAAGCTTCACCATGGCCTGCAGAACAGGCCTGTCCTGTCTGTCACTCCCTCCTCTAGTTCCCTCTGCAATGCTGACCTCCTCCCTATTCCTGAAAGCTCTCTGCACTTGCTAGGCTCCCCTAGCCCATTTTAGGGCTTTCCAAACACCACTGAGCCACACCC